AACATTATAAGTCATTTCTTCATACACCCCATCTATACATTCCCGAGAGGAAAAGAGGAAGTCCAGGGACACCCTGTATATATACATATATACTTTTTGGACACCAAAAAATGTTAAATCAAATTGTGTACTCAATTTTGATTTCAAAGATTTGAAGTTTTTACAATCATTGTAAAAAATAAAGAAATCATCTACATATAAATCGATGAAAGTCAATGGTGTTTTGTCTCTTTTAATAAATAAACAAGACTCATGTTTTGAATCAGTTCAACCTAACTCAGACAAAACTTCATTCACTTCATCATTCCAAGCTTTAGATGATTGTTTCAAACCATATACAGCCTCTCTTAGTATATATACCTCGGTTTCCTGATTTATGGTAACTGGATCGTCATTATAATTGAGATTTTGCAAACAAGCATATGTAATATAATCTTCAAACTGCTTAGGTTTGATTATTCTTTGTGATTTCCTCACTTATGTGTTTTTTGTGCTCGTGGCAATTCAATCAAAAATTCTTCATCACTGGTAGAAGTTTCTGATTAGTGATCTGAAATATCATGAAATGAATCATCAGACTGATTAACTTCAGCTTCTGCCTCAGCCCCAACTAAGTTTCTTGATTCTTGCAGTTCATATGCTATCGGTTTGGATTTCTGTATGGCTTCTTCGATAATTACATTTCTGCTTATCATTATTTTATTTTTCTCTGGATCATATAATCTGTAGTTGTCACTTAATCTTACCAATATCATCATCTTTGATTTCTTATCCTTGTCTTGATTTTTTCCCTTTTGTCTCTTAGGATTAGTGTCATGGCTTCACTTCCAAATATGCGTATACAAGTTTTTTCAAGACGAGAGACTGAAGAATGGTTTCTGAGGTAGCTCGCATTAGACACAGCTTCTGCTCAAAAAAATCTCCATATTTGCATAATATAACAAGCAACGAACTTTTTCGACCATGGTACGATTCATGCGTTCGCTCATGCCATTCTGTTGAGGAATGTAAGCATTTGTTTGTTGATTCAAAATTCCATATTTTTTATGAAAATTTCGGAACTGATTACTATCAACCTCAGTACCTTGATCACTGGGAAAATTTTTGATTTTGGTTCCTCTTTGGTCCTTTACATAGTTCTTGAACTCCTGAAATGTTTCATATGCTTCGTGTTCGCTCCTGAGAAAGTACGCAAAAGTCATTCTAGTAAAGTCATCTTCTAGTATTTATGATGCACTGTTTGGAACCTTTGGTGTAGTAATGAATATTACTGGAGTTTTTTCCCAACACCATATCGTTATTTTCAACGCCTCGACATGTATTTCGATCACCAAGGGGTTCATCTTCAAAGAGGAAGATTAAAACTCCTCTTTGAAGATGATCACTTCGTGATTGAAACACGTGTCGAGGTATTAAAAATAACAATTTGGTGTTGGGAAAACACTCCAGTAATATTCATCTTCTAGTATCATAATCGAGCCACCAAGAGAAATTACTTACATTGGCCTACATTAATATTCATGTATTGCTTCCAATACAGAATTTGCTCGATTGCCTTTGTGGTTGAATGATTGTCTGGTTTGCTCGCCTTTATAACAGACTTCACTTAAGTAAAAGTTACTTTTTACGTACCTTTACACTGAAAACCATCAACAAGTCATTATTCATTAAATTCAAGTCTTTGTACTTTAGATGAGCGAACGTCTGTGCCATATTTCACCAGAAATTGCTGAACCTGCCAAGTTCAACAGTGGTTTCTTGAAGTTTAATTTGTAAACATTTTTCACTAAGGTTGTTGTAGCAATCAGCTGTTACAAATGTCACAACCAGTTTCATGAAAAATAACTTTGTTATTGTTTTTGATCAGCTGACTCGCCCATAACAATTTTGTCATCAATTCAGATCATTACGAACTGTGACGGAATGTTACTCGGTTTCAATTATTGTCTAGATGTCAATATCATCAGAACAATACAAAGCTACTTTGTTGTCATTCGCCACGGTAACTTCCTTTACTCAAAAATCATTTTGGGGATTTTCAAGCCAATCTTTTCTGAATGTACGATGCATACTACACTCAGAATCTATATACCAATCTGATTGAAAGCATTCGATGAATTTTTCTTATTCCTTTCATTTTCAGGACACCGATTCATAAAATGTCCAATTTTCTTACACCTATAGCAAGTGACTGCACTTTTATTCATATTAACTTTTCTAGTGCTGTCATCTCCACCACCTGTGTTAAAAATTTCGTTCACAAACGCACCACACGCGCATATCTAATAACTAGATTTAATGGAATCTGGATGTACAATGAACACATGTGGTCTAAGTGCGTGGGCTTACACTCACCCTCCTTACTCTACAGATACAGATTAATGAAATCTGCAGTCACGTCAATTCCAGAGTGTTCTATTGCAATGACCATGGGCTCAAATTTTTCAGTTAAACGCAAGCATCAAGCTCCCTATCAACTCTTGACTTAGTTCTCACTAATTTCTAAGAAATCACTTGGTTCAGGTGAAATTCCATCGATTCACAATTATCAAATCTCCAGGAGATTAGTTTACGAAGCGAACCGATTTCATGCGCGAAACCAGACCCTTCATAAAGATTTTTCAACTTGGCAAAAATGCTATCTTTCACATGGATAAACAATGATAGATCTAGGGTCGAAATCAGCTATGGCTTGGCTCTACTCACTGAATCGACATTAGTCTCAGAACCATCGATATACTTCGATAATTCTTCCAGGACGAACACGTTTTCTACTGCGAGAGCCCAATCTCGGTAATTTTTTCATCCCATCAGTTTTGAAATACTACTAAGATGGTTTACTGTCATCGATGCACTCGAATAACTTGTATTTCAGCAATTCACCATTGATCAGCTAACAAACCGTTGTGGTCTGGACTCATAACATGTTAGACAAACTGGCGAGAAAGACAGATCACATCGTAACAGAAAAATAACTAGTGTTGCCAGCCGTCACAGTACGAAACGTTATCATGAGATATACCTAACAGAAAATAATTTCATGAAAATCAAAAAATAAATAGATAAGTACTTCCATATTGATTTCAACTCAAGAACCACCGGTAGACAGCTGTTTCAGCCTGTTAGGCAACGTCAGTACCGGGCAGGCGGTCTTCCATTGAAGACAAAATGTGAATAACCAAGAAAATTATTCGATAAAATAATTACGTACACGTAAGCGAGACATAAGTGGAACCACCTATTGCTGTGACACCCTAGTCAGCTCGACTGCATTAACCTTTCTCGATTTCATATCATTTCTATAAACATGTGGATTCGTTTTCCGATGGATTCCAGGATAGCTTCCCACTGACATAAAAACTTGGCAAGTTGACTTGGTTCCAATATTCACTGTATTATAAAATGCTTCTGAAATCATCATGCAGTGAGCGTTAAAACTATATTTTGAAGAGGAGTCGGTTGGGTTTCCGCCCAGATGTTTCTGAATAGTTATAGAGTACATACTTTCCGATAATAGAATACACTTATGAACGATTCAGAGAAAGCCCACTGTATTCTGAGTGAGTTTATAAGTGTAACTTCTAACTTCAAGGTTTTTATTTTGTCAGAAAAAGACAAATACCAAGTAAAGTGTGTTATGAACTATAATTGTCAAATCTGTATCAGTTGTCAGCGTAATGTCGAACTGAAATTCAAGTAAGACTCATTTCAATTCAATGAAATTCTAGAGTAAAGGACCCCAATCATCCAGATTCAATAAATTTGATAAAGTCCCGAATCTTCTTCAACAAATCGAAGACGAAGACGAACCTCCGAAGAAAGATCCCAGATTTTTGTTACCACAGCTGATAATGGAGGAACAAAAGAGTCAAGGTGATAAAATCGTCACAGAAGAAAGAAAAGAATCCATTTTAGAATGGTTAGTATCATTAAATTATTATTAATATTCACCATTGATGTACTTTTCCTTTTTTGTTGAATCACTAAACTTTGGCTGTGGAATATTTCTTCCCTTCGTCATCATTTTTACAGTCCCTCGAATTCGTTTTGATTATTGACAGTGTTTTCCCAATTATTTCGACGAATTGACTTTCAAGGCAGCATGATGAATGATATACATTTTACAGATGTAGTAATTGTTAGGATATGGCATCACATGAAAACGACCAGTTGAGTTAGACTCACTTATATTCAGATATATACGCTATCTTTATGAATGCTCAGAATGAACTGACTGATATTTATCATACTATCTAGTCATTCGAGTACAAATATGATACATATTCGCAACGTTTCCATTATACAGGGTGGATCATCGAAAACTTGACATGATGGTTTTGGGTACTAATTATGCAAATCCTGAAAACACTCAGACAGGTCGATTTTTATTAGGAAGGAGACAGTTTTTTTCCCATTTACAGCGTCGCCACTTCAACCCTGAAGCAGAGGGGTGAACAACCCTTGGAATTTTAATAGGGAACTAGGTGCGAGTCGCACATACTTTGAAAGATCTTAGAATTATCTCAACAACGGTGTACACTTTTTTTTAATTTGGACGAAACATATTAAATTCAGAGTCAAAGTTACTTACTTTATTCTCATGTTAGCATATGCTCAAAATGGGCACCTCCAGCTTCCATGAGATACTGCTGGAAACGTTTTCGAACATTATGGAGCATTTCTGCAGTTATTTGGTGACATTCATTTGTGATTCGTTGTCGTAAATCTTCGAGTGATGCAGGAGGATTACAGTAAATTCTGCTTTTCAAATGACCCCACAGAAAGAAATCTAACGGCGAAAGGTATGGTGATCGTGGTGGTCACTCGATAGTGCCCCGCCTCTCAATCCAGTGATCCGAAAAAGTCTGATCTAAATACTGCCGAACAGACAGAGCATAGTGCGAAAGAGTCCCATCTTGTTGAAATAATAACAGATCCTCCCGATAATTGTGGTCATTTTCAATAGTATCAATGAGAAGGGGATTATTAGTATTGTCCAGAGGATCCAGATACATTTGTCCGGTTAAATTGCCTTCTAAAAACAATGGGCCAACGAAACGGTCACCAAAAATTCCAGCCCATATATTTAATTTTTGTGGACGTTGAGTATGCACTTTATGAAAAATGTGAGTATTTGAATCAGTCAAATAGCGACAATTATTACGATTAATTGTGCTATTTAAAAAAAACATTCATCACTGAAGCAAATTTTGAAAACAAAATGTGGATTTTCCACCGCTCATTCACTAACCAACTGTCAAAATTGCAAGCGTCGATCGAAATCATCTTCATTCATTTCTTGCATTAATTTAATCTTGTAAGGATGCATTTTGTGGGTTTTTAAAATACGCCGAATGCTAGTTTGTGATTCCCCGGAAATAAATGCTAACTTTCTTGTGCTCAAAGTGTGGTCAAGCTCAACATGGCCCAGAATGGCCACTTGTGTCGCCTTATCTGTTACTGGTGGTTCGATTTGCCATTTTTCATTTGCTACAGATCCAGTTGCGCAAACTTTTGCAATTAAATCGAAAACATACTGTAGCGACACATTCTTCCCATGTTGTTGATCGAACAGTTCAGCGGCTCAACAACAACAATCAACTAAAAAAAAACTTTGCGGCTCTCACTACTAGTAATAATGTAGATATTACTTTCAACACAAAAATGAGAAATAGAAACAGCATTTTTAACCATTTATCAATTGTAATAGTCCTCTTATCAGAGAAGAACTGAAAAATTAACAAGAAAGTAGCATAAGAAACAAGCTAAAGAGTTCCAAGTACGTTCCAACTGAGAAGTGGCATACAACAATTTGTTGCTAATTACAATATTGAAAAATTAATTATCGGAAAGAACTCTTTTGAATACGTCCAAATTTAAAAAAATGTATACCATTGTCTGTCTTTCTATCCAACGTTTCGTCTTCCGGTCACCATCATCAACTTTATTTTTTCTCATGGGCGCTACATTGGATTACTTCTGTATATGAAATGACTCAGCTGAATCTTTCCTCAACCAAGATTCAGAAATGCAAATGAAATTCACATTGACATTTGTTATGTCTATGATTAAACTATTGATTTTTTGATAATTGACACCTTGTTTGTTCAGAAGAAATAGACTTGGATCAAATGTTACATGTTTGTTGTCGGACTTCTCCTTCTGAATGAAAAACGACTGATAAAGCCCCATATGCCCACATTTCAGCTTTCATTGCTTTCCTGAAGTCCTCTTCTAAGATTGTTACTTAGAAACTAGAATTCTCCCGAGGATATTTAGAGGTGAGCCTTTCACACAAGACTTCCGGAAAATGTACTTTTAGTAGTTCTGTTAGTGATTCGGTAGATGTTGTTTCATCAACTCTGGAAACGTGTAGTACTGCGTATGTTAACATCACGCACGGTGTTATTCACATTATTTCCGATTATAATGTGAAGTCTACTCCTCTTTCTTGTTTCAACTTTTTTCCAACCTCCCTCTCTCCCTCAAGTGCCAGTTTAGCGTTTTTGGGTAATTTTATGGTTTGGTGTGTTCAAACTCACATCTCGCGATTTAGATGAATGATTCGTCATATCAGAGCTTATCATATTCATCTCATTATTCAAATATATTAGATTTTCTCGTTTTTGTTTCGTTTCCACTCGCATTGAACTCAAAACAAACATCATCTTCTGTTATTTTTTGGGAGTTCCCCGCAATACTTTCTACCTTTGCCTTGACCCTACTTTTTTCGACAGAAATTTCTTCTCTATGACTAGCACTTGGTGGTTCATTGTCATTGAGGAGTTCTATTTCATCTCTTAGCTCTTGAATTACTATATCTTTTTGTTTTATGATGTACATGAATTAATTGAAATCCACCTTCTTGTCTAAACTGTTAATGTCCGCCAAAACATCGGAGTCTGAAGATACTTCCATTCCACAGGAGATTATTTCGTCACTGTTGATATTTATGATGTTTTTTGAATGTCTCACACACCTAGGGTGACTATTTCACATTTGACAATTGATACACTTTGGGGCAGATATGGCCACTGCTTTGCACTTTTTACAGGTTCCAATAGGAGCTACAATTAAACACGTTTTATCAGTTGCGGTCATGTTGTCCATTCATGATTGTCTTTTATTTGATTTTCTGACCAATATTGAAGGAGTTTAGTGTTTCAAAATTGTTGGCAGCAGCATTATCCATCACGAAATCGAGGAAATGTTCAAAAAACGGTACAAAATTTTCGAGCATTTCCATTTTTTTGGAATATAATATGTTTTCATTTCATGTTTCATTCAATAATTTGCTTTGATGCTATTGATGATTACTCAAAATGACACGTGTCTACTTCACGAGTAAAATCCGAAATAAAAATGAATGAAATGCTTTCAAAATAATTTTTGTATTTCTTCACTGCGGAAATGTCTGAAATTTCGATCCTGATTATCTAGAAATTTGTCTTCTTCACAGTGTTTCTCATCACGAAATTTATTTTCCAGTCTGTAGAAGGTGAAAATTCACCGAAAAGAACTTAGAAATCTTGGTATATACAGTGAGCAGAAATTACTTTTCAGAATGTTTGAGTATCTTTAATATTCCTTCAATTCATAGAATCAACCGATAGGCGGCTGTTTCGCCATTAACGCCTCATGAATACCGATCTTTGCCAGTTTTCAACTGAAAATAATCTGCCAAAAAGGCAGCAATATACATGCATTGAAATGCAAGGTAGGTATTCACTAGCAATTGGTCATTAAACACGTTTTCATCTACTCATAATTCAATTGCCAACATTTTGGTAAGGTTTATTGCCATCTTCAGGACTATAATAAAATTAAATGGCAATGAAATAATACTGTGTTGTACATTTTTAGATAAACTCATAATGATATAGTTTTTCACTATGTTCACCCAAACTGTATATCTGAATATGTTATTCACGTAATTTAAGAGAATTATTATGAGAAACCTCCAAATAACGTGAAATTGAATGAGGATGAGGAACAGTTGAAATATTGAATTCGATGAAAACCAGAAGATGAAAATTGAATCACACACTGAAATAGGCTGCTGACTCTCTTGCATAGGAGGGTGCTGCAAGTAGCTTCATCGGACCAGAACCTGTCATTGGTGTAGCTTCAGGCTTTGCCAAACAAAGATTGAAAACCTGGATGGCAAGAAGATTCATAGACTTCTGGCAGAATCTTCTAGGATTGACTCACTCCAGGACGTTTATTCACCCTTCGGAGCTTGATACCAAACAGTTGTTGGACTACAGTAGGGATGAAGTGCGATGTCTAACAGGCCTTCTTACGGGTCACTGTCATTTGAATCATCATATGCAGAGACTCGGACTGTCGAAAGATAGTGTGTGTCGCCTCTATTTAGGAAATTATGAAACAGCAGAGCACATACTTTGTGCCTGCCCCGCTGTGGACCTAGTCAGTAGGGTCGCATAGACCCATTCACATTGGACAAAGTTTCTATTATTGCATACAACATAATAAAACGAATGCCAGGTAAGAAAAGGCAGAAAAGTTTTTCGTTTTGTGTATTTTTGAAATATTCCCATGTGTTGTGAAAATTATGACAGTCCATTTTGAATTCGTTTGTGAACCATCTCAAAAAATTAGCGTTTTGCTAGACTATCTCTGTATATAATTTTTTTTAATTATAATCAGAGGTGTGACACAAATTGAAGTAATGTGCATTAATGACTATTTTGTTATTATTTCACCTGTTGGTAACAGAATAATCATATTCACAATGTCACGGTTTTTTTACTGTTTGGTTTGTTCAATATATGTCATGTCACGGTTCTTGCAATGTATACAATAAACGACATGTATGTTATTCATAAGTAATGTCTCATTATTCTGACTAATGATAGAAACTCATTTTCTAATTGCCATTATTCAATTTTCGAAAAACGCAGGTTCGACCGTTCCGTTGAGAATGAATTGAAAAAACGGAAAGAAAACATTCCAGGAGGAACGTCCACTTTCGCGGATATAATCCCAGCGGTGGCGGATCTCAACATGTCAAAAGGTCTCATGGAGAAGATGTCCGAAGCTAGCGCGAGTGGAATAGAGATTGCGACCCATATGCGAATGGAACCGGATACGGAACTTACGGATGCAGTCGACAAGCTCGCCAAAGCTGAGGCCATGTGCGCTTTCGCAGGAGCAGTTAAAGCGGCAGAGGCAGCCGCAGAAGGTAAAATTTATGTTATTTGGAGTATTTCGATTCTATAATGAGTAGATCATAAATCCGTTTAGAATAATATTTCAATTCTAGCGACGCGCCCAGGCTTTGCACGGGTAGTAGAGCACATATTCTCACGGTATTTTCTGTCATGAGGTCGCATTATCTTGTATCTAATAATAATGACCTTCGATTATGTTCACGCAAACAAAATCATGTTCACAACTATCAATTTTAATTTGAAAATAGGTTAGTATCTATCTACCTGAAGACAACACGAAAGATAAATGCAACCTCAACTTGCAAAGTGATTCACTAGGTAAAACAAAATCAAAGCAATTGCAACCTTTCTTCATCACTTGTATCGCATCAGTGTTGAAGTCGCTTGAATTTATTTTGTCGTGCCACACTTTCGATTCTGCGATGGGTTCTAGGATATTATTTCAAGTTGTATGGTATGAAGAGCAATTAGAAGGTATATGAAACGCTCAAGGTCACTAACATTATAGATTCAAGTAGGAATAATATCGACTCCGTCTGAATAGTTTTCCAATTACCATATTGTATGTGCAGTAAGTTGTTTTATTAAATATTATTGAGATTAGGCAGCGTTATTGATACAATTTTCAGGCTTCTCACGGGCAGGACCGTCACCCTGACTTCGACATACCATCGTCATATCGTTTCACCAATTCATTAACCTACTACGTTTCTATTTGGACAAGTTCACTTCCCCCACCACTTGAAAGGTTTCAACAGTTATCTGTCGAATAATGAAGGAATGAAGACTATATTAGTTTACTGAAATTGATTCTCTGTTCGCAACAGAATGAATTATTTTATTTGTTTTGATAGGTAGCTGCAACAAAAGCTTGTTTAAGATTTTTATTTCAATTTCATACTTTCTAGTGAGTACATTTCTGCTGATGTATCTTTATTATAAAATATTTTCCTATAAGTATTGAGCTATCTAAATTCCCATTGAGGATTCGTATTATATAATATTTGGAAAATCGTCACTTAGCTTATCGTATTCCACTCTTTAAACTTTTTCATTTGATATCCATGTCATAGGGTCTACTGAAGAAATGATAAATCACCATGTGTCATACATAATGGATCGTGTAATATCACAAGAACTGAAAGTGTGTGAAGTCTATAAGAAGTAAACTGGTTAAAAATTAATTTTTATGTTTTGAAAGGATTGGATCTCAGGAAAAAACCAATCTCGAAACATATTTGGATATTTGTGAAAAACTATCTTTGGAAAAGCTGAAAAGTCGTGTAAGAATAACACTATTTACGTAATAAGTGTCTAATAAGTCTAATAAGTGTCTCACCTAGTTAAGGTTGGATGTTTCACAAATATCAAGTGCAACAACGTGTAATTATTTTTGTTTTAGAATTAAATTATTCAATTGGTTGGTGACACATAAAACAAGATCACTTCCCTTTATGAAAATCATACCAATAATTTCAAAAGTGTTAGATTTTATCGATTCAGATTTTTTCATTTTCAATAATAAGTTGTTCCCGCTCTCAAAAAAAAAGCTAATGGATCATATTGAAACCAAAAAAAAAATGTTGATCATTTCAAAGCGCTAGGAGTATGATATCTGATTCGACTCATATAAAAAAGAATGATTGTTGAATTTTTGATAGGTAATTCAAATCATTATCCAGTTCAATACTGAAAAATGTTCTTAACCAATTGAAACCTTCGTCATGAACAACTGCTGATATTTTCTCTGAATATTTACGATGCATGAAGATTAGATTAGATTGTCGGAGAGCTAGCCCATGGCCTGATTCACTGCGACCTTTTCAGATCTATTGTGATGCTTCTTGATTGTTAGAGCTCATTGTCTAGCTTGATCTCTCTGATGAGACTCCATATCCTTGACACTTACCCCTTCATATAGCTGGTAGCCTCTGATTTCTCTTCCCCGCATCTCGCGTGTCTCAGTCTTGCTATCGCTTCGCATTCACAGAGTACATGCAGTGCGGTTTCTTCCTCTCCTTGACAAAACCTGCATTGGGTTTCTTCTGTCAGACCGATGTTGCTCAGATGTTTTCTGAATCAGCTATGCCCCGTTAGTAGACCCACCACTACCCTTACAATTTCACGGTGTTTTTTAGCAGGTCTTCTGTGAATCTCAGCGATGGTTCCTTCATGAACTCTTCCGCCTGCCGCGTTCCTGGGAGCGTACTCCACCAATCTATCGATTCGGCTTGCATCCATGAAACTATGGATGTCTCTATCTCGCTATCGCGCAGAAGGGTTCTGAGCCGATCATAGGCCAGGGTTAAAACATTTCCCTCCTCATTGCCCTTATGACTTTCATGTCCGGGTACCCAAGTAAGAGTGGCCCTATTTTGGATACTCAGCTCAGACAGCTACCCACTAATCTTGAGAAGATTTGAAATGTGCTGAGTGCCTTAATTGCCGCCTGACTATCAGAAAAAATGGCAATGGTTTTATTGTGACATTCTGTCTGTTTATTTTCCCTATACAGAGTTCGAATGCCGCTACTTCTTCCAGGAATACAGTTGCATTGTGTCCGAGGCTGAGTCTGATATATCGGCTCGCACTCGTTGGGTCTTTGAGCCATCTGTATGCCAAATTTCTTCCGCTTTTACCGGTGGCCGTTTTGCCAGTCCTCTCTACTTGGTATGATGATTTTTGAATCTTTTGGAAAGTTGTACTGCGGAACTGTGTTACTCACGGGCATTCCTAGTATTGGATCTACCTTCAGTTCATTGTACAGTTTCAAGTATTCTGCACTGTGTGACTGGCTAATTGGGATTTGCCTCAGCATTAGCCTTGTGCCACCAGTCGAGCTCCTCTTTGTATGTAGATGTGTAATGGCGAAAATCCGAGTAGGAACTCAAGTGCTGCAGTTGAGGTCGTTCTCATGGCTCCCGCAACACTTGAACACGCCAGCCTTTATATGCCGCCTAATAGCCTAGCCTTACCCGATTGCCTTGTTCTTGTCCACCAAGAACAAGGCATGTTCTTATCATGAGTCTCACTACCCTTGTATATAACCAGAGTGTCATTTTTGGGTTCAACCTCCAGTTCTTTTCACACATTCCACACATTTCGGCGGCCAGCCTCCAATCCCCCGCCGTTGGCCTTCTGTGCCTTGTTGGGAGAAAGGAAGACCCCCCGAGAGGCCAGGTTCAGATGCCGCTGGGAAATGGGCTGTCAACAGTAGCCTTACAAATTGGTGTTTCTTCCACCTTCATGCCAAACCTCCTCCATGAGCCTCTCTTTGCCTTCCGAATTTCTTTGTTATACTGCGTAAGTTTTTTCCTATATATGTCCCAGTCTTGGTTTCCTTTGGCTTTGATGAATAGTTTCGTCCTGTTAACTTGGTGAAAATGGACTTATCAGTTTAACAAATGAGGTTATCGATATTTTTATCAATTCACACAAAATACTAATTTTTTTTCACATAATAAACGAATTGCTACAACTAATAACATAAAGTGGTTGTAACTATTACTAGTCAAAATTCTCTGTAAAATGACTGGACCTGCATATAACAAAAAAAATCTAACCTCAGTAGCCTTCCAACGATCAGCTTCATGTATGCTCCTAGGTTTTCTTGAAAAGTCTGATACACTGAATTTGCCTGTTTCAAGGTACAACTGATTGAGATGATCCATCTGAGTCTTAGTTAGACAAACATTTTTAGGGCCTTTCAACCACAAGGTTAAAATACGTTTTAAAACTCCTAGTAACACCAAATGCATGTAATCCAAAGGAATTTGTTTGATCATGTCAATATCTAGAGATTTCAAAATTGTTGATCCATGATGATGTTCAGGCTGCGTTCTATTCCGAAAAGATTCATCTGTTCGTAAACTTGAAGTAGTGGATGAATATACTACTCTATGTTCTAAATAATCACCTTCGCAAATACATTTCGAACAACCAAAATAACCTGAATGATGTTTGGTATTTAAAATGCTTTTGCTGGAGCATCACATATTATACAATTCAATTGAATAGAGTAAGATTTATTTTCTATAACAAGCCCAGTAAGTTTTGAATTTGAATATTCCTCTATAAAATATTTCAAAAATTCATTTGAATTTCAGGTTTTTTTAAACCATGGAAAACACCTATTATGAATGATTCTGTATGAATATGTTTTATAACAATATCTCCTAAAATAGGCCAAAATTGACTACCAGATGACTTCGAAATTGGTAGCCATCTATATTGATGTTTAATAAAATTACACTATCTTTGCAATTATATTTTACAATGGCACGTTTAATACTTTCCTCCACACCAAAATGCACATATTGGCCACCTCCATACAATATATAACTCGAAACTCAGGGAGACTCTCATCTGTTAAAAAGTCAAGTTCGTCTGGATATTACTATTACCAACCTGAAAACATAGCGAACGTAATATTGAAGTAACAAATTTAGGTAGGAGTTAAGTGAAACATAATATACCATACTGACGTAAATTTTCACGTATTAGCTACAACATATTTACATAAACTATTTATGTAAATATGGGGTAAAAGTATCTTAGAAATGTAATGGAGCATTTACGTAAATATATTACATAAACATGTTCCGTTAATTTTATGTCATATTTATGTAAATGTAAGAAGTGTGTTTGCTGGGATCATACATAAAACCTTTGCCTCATACATAAAACCGATGGTGAACATCGTATGGAAATCTGTTCGGTAGTTTTTGAGTTTATTGCATTCAGAAAATCAGACAAACGCGTCGGGTATTCTGTATAGCGATATCATATTTGTATTTTTTTCAAAAGTTGGCATTCCTATAACCAACAAGCAAATCATACTAAATCAGTAATTTACTTGGCACGTGTATATTGAAATATTTCTTAGACCGTCAATTCTGATAACATTAGAATCTACTTGGTAAATAGTCATTATACTTCACTGAGATCACAAGTCATAATTGTTTGTTCGAATACATACATGGTGATCACACGAAAAAACAGTTGTTAGCAGGACCTACAAATGCATTATGGTTTGGTTAGTTGATGTTTCAACAGGACGGAGTTCTTTTTAATTTTTGCTTGATTTTTCGTTACTCTTTCAGATTTTGAATGTATTGAATGATCCCTACGATCACTTTTCATTTTTTTCAAGGCTACCTAATACCTAATAGTGACATTGAATTACCACGAATATGCTTTGGAATCAGTGTCACTTCCGAGGTTGATACATCCTGAGGTTATCCCCGATAACTAGATATTACGGCTGCGAAACGCGTATTAATGTTGACTCAGCCAATTTGGTGTGCTAATACCTGTACCTATGTAAGGTAAATTCCGTAAAGCGTGTTAATGTTGACTCAGGTAGTCTGGTGTGATAATACGTGTACCTGGATTAGGTAAATTGTCAATAACATTCGTCGACTCTTGTCTACCTGCTAGTTAAAGGATAGCAAACAGCATGACGACAGGTAGAAAAGGTTGAGGAATATTATTGACAATTTACTTGATCCAGGTATTACTACAGCAGACTACCTGAGTTAACATGAACAAGCTTCACGTAGTTCACCTGATCTACCAAACTACTTGAGTCAACATAAATACGCGTTACGAAGCCGTTATATCCAGTCATCGGAGATTACCTCAGGATGTATGAAGCTCTGAAGAAGCTAGCCACTCGCGCCAGCGAACCGTCAGGAGAAAATTCCAAAAATCCAGGGCCTTCAAACACGAAAAATAGTGAAACTGGCAACCTTGGCCGCGAAAGCCTTAATATATCAGATTATAACTTCAAGGCTTCTCAACTTCAAGGCTTCTCAACAACAGATTACTGTGAGAAAGTTATTGTATAATGAAAAAGTGGTTGAAGTTTTGTACACTATATATTAAAATTATTTTATAACATTAGAAAATGTTTCGGAAGTAATTTTGTTAGGAGCATCTCCCATTCTAACAACTAACTGCGGAATATACTTCGGTTACGTAGGTTTCATGAATCCCAACAAAAAATCTAATATCGTCAGACCACGTTTGCCTACGGTTTCGATATAGTTGTAATCTAGTCACTTTCGAACCAATGTGTTGTAATTAAGAGGTTTCTCATTTTGCTGAATCGTAACATCTGTTGAAAACTCATTTGAGTTTGTCAATTAATTATCCAAACCGTGAAGGTGTTCCATTAGAAGATCCCACTGATAATCTCATATGACTCCTCCAGATGTTTTTGAGGAAATACGTGACATCTAAAGTGTACTAAACACAATCACAGTTTACTTTAGAACTGGTAGATAGAAAAAACAGTTCTTGCAACGAAATAAACCCTAGAAACATTTCATACTGTAGAAAATAATTTTGATAACAAACTGCATTAATATCAGGGGGTGAATGGTAAACATTTTCAACTTTCATTGTACTGAAGTGAGTTTTTTGAGTAAATTTTTTCTTGGAATCATGATATTTATTGGGTTTTTGCAGACGAATATAAAACTGCTAATCAGATTTTCAATAACGAAGAAATATTGAATTGAGAATGGAAATACTTATCAAAACGAGGTATCGACACATCCCTCATTTATTCTAAATAGAACCGTTTGTGATACCCTTTCATCCTCAAGAGATGCAACACTATTGTCGTTCTCATCAGAACATATTCAAACTGATCGTATCTGTTAAAAAAAAATCTGTTTTTCCGTTAACCAGCTGTCGCACCCCTACGAACGACAACCCCCAGAAGTCGAAACTTGTGCGAGCTAAGTAAACTAACAAATCTATTTTTTACATTTCTTCCAAATCATGAAAGCAGAACAATGATAGTGGAAATGTTCCTATTACTTATGGTGTTTCCCAAGAAACGGTTTTGGATCCTCTCTTGTTCATTATCTATATAGACAGTTTTTTGAAAAGCTTTCCAAAGAAAGCATTTCCAGTTTATGACACAACAATCGTTTTTAATGTGTACTCACTCACCATTTATATTTTATGCCAATGAGCGGCCAAACATGTCACCATCAATTATCAACCCAGTTTCAGAACACATTCCAATGAGATAACCAGATCTGATGATTAAAATTTTTGGGATTACAAATTAATAAAAATTTGGATTTTGAAGGTCACATGAATAACCTATGTAAAAAAATTCATCCGGATACTTTGCAGTCACAGCATTAGCAAATGAACTGGGCACTATTGTGACAAAAATGTGTACCTCGCTCTCATTGATTCCCATCTGCGATACGGTATCTGTTTTTGGGAAACGTGTTGCCAATACATGTTAGATAAGGTATTTGTACTAAAAAAGAGGAGTTATAAATATGTGTAGAGTTGGATTCAGGGATTCCTGTCGACCTTTATTCACGAGGCATACAAATTTGACCTTGCCTTTCATCCTCATCTTGGAAATGGTATGTCTGATGTGAAAAATATATAGGACGAAAATTTTCAGTTCACCTCGACGAAATACGAGAAATAAGCTCAATATAACTTTACTGATTTCAATATCATCAAAAATTGAGAGGTATTTCATATATAATGGGAAAAAAATGTTTAACCATTTGCAAATTGAGATCAAAGGCATAACATGTACCACTCAATTCAGAAAGTCTGTGAAAAAGCTTCTGATTTCAAAGGCCTATTACTTTTTAGATGAATTCTATTCAGACAGAAATTTAAATTCTATAAAAAATTAATTTTTATTATTACCTACTGGTATTTGAACTGTGTGACTGTTTTAACTTTTTGTTTGATATTTACATTTGGCTCTGAACTGTATAGTTGAAAATGTTTACGAAGCAGACACTTTTATTTTCTATGCATTCACTTTTTATATTTTTATGCTTTATAGTTTTTATATTCCTATTCTACATTCATGTGTTGCATGAGAATATTCATTATTATTCATTTCAATATGTAGTATACCTATATATTTTTACTTTCTGACCAGTTTTTCGCCCCACAATCCTGAAATCACCAAATGTTCAAGTACTACTTTTGATTTGTATATGTTATATCTATTTCTTTAAATAGTAACACTTTGTCAATGAGATTTTATTTCCGACAATAAAGTACATTTTGATAGATTGGTTGAGTGTCAAATCAGTATCAGACGGTATTCAGTTCATTCATGAGCAAAATGAACTGAAATATGGAAAGAAAAAAATAACTTGTTTAAAAATTTTGATAGAACTTCATTTCGACATCAATCGAAATAACTCTCAAAAAGTGTATCACCTTGTATCTTCGTCTCATTTCACGTTAATAACAATTTTACATTTTCATACTTCTTTGTAACGGATAGTAACGGTAACTTAGAAATCACGTCTATATCAACTTGAAATGAATGAGAAGTGAGCAATGAAATTCTTGTTCATTCATCGATGGATAAATATTGATGAGTATTCGATATTTTGAACTGGCATTTTCAAAATAGAATTTTTCTTTCAATTCACATGGTACCACAGTGGTTCACGAATTACTTACTGAAACACACCTGATATCAATGTAACCATAATATTGACAAAGTTTGTCCATAATATTGCCACATATGTTGATTTCATTTCCTCTAGGATCAACGATGGCCTTGATAAATGTTCAGATGTTAGAATATTTTTTTAATCATGGATGACACCTAAAACCCAACCGAAAGCGGGCACACTGCATTCTTAAACTTTCCCGTACTAAGTCCACCCTTAGATTGTCCATCCCATCTGCTAAGCAAACATATTTTTCTTTTCAGCTGCACCTCCCGAGTTAGCCGAGGAAGCAGCAGTAGCGAGTGCCAGGGGATTCCAAACTGAGGTCCATACGAGTGAGATTAGAGAAGAGCTAACGGGAGTAAAACCCATGGAGGTTATCGGTTACATCGGTGTTACTAAACCAAAGTACCCGTTGAAACCACAGAAGTGATTGGATATTTCTGTCATTTAGTTCCATACAAAACAATAAATATTTATCGAAAGAGTGATCAATTCTTTTATGCAATAATTCATTCAATATGTATTTTTACTATCACAAGTTATCGAAAATAGTCGGCATATAAAAGGATTGCAGAAAAATACACCACTAACTTGATCGGTACAATTGGAAACTCTTGCATGATGTGAATACAATGAAAATAGTTTTTCCATACGATAATACTGTTTTCTCTGTAAATTTCCAAATGGATATTTCGAGAAGAAAACTCTCAGCACCGCCTCATTAAAACCTAATTGTTGGTTTTTCAATGACACTCTTGCCTTTGGCAAGATGTAGCCTGACGTAGTTATTCTTGAGCATAAGAGCACGACGATATTCGTCGTGGAGTTTTCATCTTCTGGTCAGACGAATATTCTCCGAAAAGTAAAGATTTTCTCTTCGAAGTCCTCAGACTCTACCCCGACCACTCTGTTGGGATGGTTGTTCTCAATATTGGAATCTTTGGAGGAGTGATGCCCTTTCTACTTTTCACTTTCAAGATCATGCCAGCTTCACTAGTGATGGCAGACATTTCGACCGGACAAATGCAGAAGGTTGTCATTCTTAGCTCATTGCGTCTGCTCAGGACATATGCTTCTCGGACCCAATGATCACTTACCCCACAGTGTGGGGAGTGGTCGTTGGTTGATAAAGCTGGCGCGCCCTCCCGAATGTATAGGGCCTGACCAGCGCATACTTCGATAATAGTAATAGTAATACCACCAACCTTTGAATACCAACCACGAATATTGATGATGTTTTCTCGGAGACAAACGTCGAGAAATACCTGTACTATAATACATAGCTGAATTTGTTACTACAGTAATTTCAAAAATCAATGAAAAAACTAGAGATGAAATCTAATGAACGATACGTCACATATTGCAAATTGGTTTATATGAGATTGTAACAAATATCAATTATATGATAGAATTGGCCGATACATTGGCAGAGCAAGATCTTCAAATGATGTGGTGCTGCAGGCTTTTCTGGGTTTTTCTGCAGCTGAAAAAGCAAATGCGCCACTGGAATCAATGAAGTCGCCCCGGAGCGCCAATTAATTTTTATTGTTATTTTTATATTATACTACTAATTTAAAAAATGTTAGTAAAAATCTCACATTGAAGTGTTTTTTGAAAACGTTAAATATGGATTAGTATTGAAAGTTACTCTGCGGTAAAGCCAAATGAAAACAAAATTCGACAATTCTAGTCGAATTTTCAATGCAACCACTGATGTATTAAATGATATTTCAAAAACAACCACTGATATTCTCGATATGAAAAGGGATTATTCCAGTCCCTCGAAATAGTGGCATCATCTAAAAAAACGGCCTGGATAATAAAATTCCTGGAAAAATAAAAAATCTCAAACTGCACTCAAATTCTGAAATCGATTAAAAAAGTATTTGATGACATGAGTTGAGAATACAGGATTATTTATATTTTACAATTTTCAATGTTTTTCGAAGGTTGGCAGAGGCCTTTATCTCCAACTACATCGTACCAACCATAGCCGTGCTAGGACCGTATCAGACACGGAAAATAACACGACACGGTAATGGATCAACCGTATTCTAATCCCGTAAGCAACACGTAGAATGACCGTATCATATGGGTATAATGACCGTAAGATACCCCTTTGACAACTGTAGGTAATGTGAAGTATTGTATGATATTCCGGCTTACTCATCAGTGTAGTGTGAGCGTGTAGAAGAGTTTACCGCGAAGAACGAATATGGCTATGAGATTATCTGCTCAAAAATTGGTAATGGTGGCTATTATTTTGAACGATGAAGAAGCAGAAATTCAAAAAAAGACCCGACGCTATTTTATTCACGACTCTTCAAGGTAACTAGAAAGCGAAGGAGAATATTGGACATTATTTAGACATTCAGTTGATGATGAGGAACAATTTTTTCAGTATTTTCGAATGTCATGGCACGTGCATGCTACGCTACGTGCCGGACAGGTGCGGTGACTGAACGGTCTAGTGGGTGTTGAAAGAATGTTTTTTAGCATGTACCGGTACGTTTACGGTCATGGTTTGGTACGGTATAGTGGGCAGAGACCTTAAAGGTTGGTAATTTCACATTTGACTGTTTGCTCATATTATTCATTCTTCTTGTGTTATCTCATTAAATATTCCATTTTTTTAATTTTTTATTTCCATTCCATAAACTCAATGTTTACTGCTCATATTAATCAATTATGTTTTCTTGTTCAATATTCCGTTACCTTGTTGAATTTATTTATTCAGTTTTGAATCTCTTTTCATAAATATTCAATATTTCTTGGGATAATAAAGACAAAACAATACAAAATTTCATCTCAAACCTGTACATCAACAAGGAAATTAAAATAATCTACGGAAAATTAATCATCTTTTAGCACTTTTTTCTTAAAATATGAACTTAGTTATAGCTAAAGAACGAAGTCACGTTGGGTTTTCATTACTTGAATCGAAATCAAAACGTTAAATGAATATATCTTATGGCCTTGTGAATAGAAAAATTTTTATACTCAGTAAGCAATCCTGTATCGAGTTCAACTATATGATGGATAACTGTATATCTGTTTCGTTGATAATGGGTATTTTTTTTATCACAATCTAGGTGAGAATTCAATTTAAAACTTATCATACAAATACATTTGTTCGGAGGCAAGCATGCAAATAAAACAAAGAAATACTATCTAATTCTTAAAATATATTTCCAAATATATGTATTTTCAATTAAGCTGACAAAGAAGGGCGACGCTTCTTTTGATCCAGTGCGATGGATGAATATCTGTATCTAGCAGAATTGGTAGCACGTAATTTGTGGAATGGCCAGTTGTAGAAAGTACTCCCCGTCTTTCAGAAGTTTTGTACACTGGACTAGTGTATCGGGTACCTGAAAACATTATTAATGTAATATTATTTGCATCCATAATAACAAATATTTACATTTTTATTGAATATTGGAGAATCGAACAGTCATGAAACCCCTTTAAATTTTCCACAATTCGCTTAACTTTCAACAGTTTCAGCTCCGCCACCAATAACCAGTTAGTTATCAGTTAGTTAGTTTATTATCAAATACCTCATTAGAAGAAGCGAAATTATCCAAAGTGAAATGTTCAGTATTACCACATACATTGCCGTTCATGTTACAAGTTAACCTATCTTCGTGTAATGTCATCCCCCATATTTTTCAATTTATTGAGATACCTTGCTGAACTGATTTCAAAAATGTGTCAACTGGTACAAAGTAAGCAATAATATCTCAATTATGAACTCTGAATAAATGATCAATTGATAAGCAAAAACGAAATGAAATTACATATTAGTTCACAACTACTTCAATGAACTTATGAAAATATTGTTATTATTGTATCTGAACATCTTCATCAGTGATTTTTGACTCTTGACATTACCGTATATTCTTTGAAAATATTATTGCCATTTTTGTATTTTTGTCATGATACTTCCTAGGTGGCATCTGCAGGAGATGCTTGGGCTTGTTTTTGTTAGAATTGTAGTCAAACAGAGAATATATGACACAAAACTTGTGCAGAAAACTAAACAAATGGAAACATTCATGATGATAATGACAATAATATAATAATGATAGTTATAAGGTACTGTCATGAGACAAAATACCCCCTAAATCGCGTGACGACTGTACACGAAAGAAAAATAGTAGGTGTGTCTGGAAACATGAAATGCTTACATGAAGGTAACGTCACATGATATGCTGCAGGTTTTTCCGGGTTTTCCCGCAGCTGAAAAAGCAACTGCGCCACTGGAACCAATGAATTCGCCCCGGAGCGCCAATTGATTTTTAATATTGTTTTTATTTTTATTGTTGTTTTAGAAATAAATTGTGTTGTTGAGATTTTTCATCACAGAACTCATTTTTTAATTTTGAATAAAAAATAAGCGTCAAAATAAACACAAGGTTTGTTTGAAAGAAGGCGCGATCGTCGAATTCGGCGAAATTGTCTAAAAAGTCATCGACAAATTTTTGACAGTTTTTTCAGTCCAACAACCTGAATATATCAATTATAGCGAGTTACGTTTTGAGAGTACAAAATTTTGAACAAAAATGAAATGAGATACTGGATTAGAATGCCAATCCGATCAACCTTCAGAGGTTTATTCGTTCTGAGTTATCTCCGATGACTCCAACTCATCGGAGATTATTCAGGATGTATGAACCTCTGAAGAAGCTAGTCAATCGCGCCAGCGAAACGTCAGGAAGAAATTCGAAAAATCGACGGCCTTCAAACCCGAAAAATAGTGACACTGAAAACTTCTGCTGAAAGCCTTAACCATTTTGTCGGAAACTGAACCATTTTTATTGACCAAGAACACCGTCGCATGAGAAGCGCTCAGAAATTGTTGGCTGACTTCACGGCAATCCCGGTTTGCATACAAAGGTGATTACTGTTGACGAATCATGGGTATATGGTTATGACATCGAAACCAAAGTCCAATTTCCCCAATGGAAGACTCCAGGAGAGTCAAGACCAAACAAGCACACCAACTTCGATCAAATGTCAAGGATTTGTTCACTGTTTTTTTTTTCGATTACCGTGGTGGCGTTGTGCATTAGGAGTTCTTGCCACACTTTCGTTCTGTTGATCACCCAAGGATATTTTCCAAGTTTTGTTCTTAACTAGTCTTAACAGTGCGAACTTAGAGCGAAACACAGCAAGCATAGAGCTAGTGACGGGACTTGGGGGAAAGGGAGATTACGACCTTGTCCTCGAGTCATGTAAGGACCGTTGCAAGTGATTCTTGAAAATAACTCCAAAGCAGGATATAACTTTTAATTATTATATGCGAGCGCTTTCGACAGCAGACTGTGCTATCATCTTCATGGCTATACTCAAACTTAAAGTTTCATTTTCTTGTTTGTTCTTTTATAGGTTAGATCGCCTTAGTGGATTTGTTAATGTTTCATTAATCAGGGTTTTGGCAGGTATTTGTCTTCCCCTTTCATCCTTACCCTTCTCTTTAAATTTGCCTGTACTTGGGTTACATCTGGTAATATCATTTGTGTTAGTGTTTCTCTAGATTCATTGTTTCTTTATTGACTTGTTTTATGAGTTAGATGTTTTCTGGTGAGAGAAAGTTTTTTATGAGTTAGATGTTTTCTGGTGGGAGAAAGTTATGTTTGTTTTGTATGGCTATGAAAAAGAAGAAGACAAAAACCTAAACGGAGTATACAGCATATAATGATCGGACTGCAACAAATTCTGTATCGGCCATACCCAGAAAAAACTGATCCAAAGGTACGACGTGCACAAAAAAGCATACGTGAACCCATCAACATATAAATGAAACCTCGCCACACACGCCGTGTTTATTTTTTGTGTAATTGTCGGATTCAGTTTGTAAGTGATGTTGATGTTCAAGGGTTTGAAGATGTTTGCAATTTTTTTGGTTTGGTGACCTATGAATGTGAATGCAGTCCATCTTTGTGTTTTTTATTTTGTAACGGTTTAAATTTCTGAATTCAGAAGAATCAGTAGAGCCGCCCTGCCCTGTAGGTTCGTTATTTTATCAGCATATTGCTGGTATGGTGGGTTGTCTAGTAAGCAGGAGTAGATAAAACCGAGGAGATTTTCATGGTCAGGAGTTAAAAACGATTCAGATCAGTATCTATCGTAGAGCCGACATTAAATCAAGGCTCTAGCTAGGGACCGTCCAAAACCTAAAAATATCTAAGGTCAGTCAAATCAGTCTATTCAATATTTTTATTTCCCATTCTTGAAATATCGATAGAGAATTCCATAACACATGTTTTCAGGTTTTTTGGACAAGAATAATAAGATCACCTATGAAAGATTCACGTCTTGGTGATTCACGTTTTGGTGGTAGAAAAAAGCTTTCAAGGCATATTTATCTGGTAATGGAAGACATTCTTCGGAAAAGCTATAGTTGCATCACACATATCATTCTTTGAGATATGAGGAGACACTCTAGAAAGTACCAACGGAGAGCCGTAGCAAGTATAAGCCGTATAAGAAAAAATATCAAAAATGATGATAACCCGTGAGTAGAAGCCCTGACATTGTTGATATATTTTGTAGCGGTCTGAGTACTGAAATCTACAGTTCATTCCTAAAATTAGAGTAGAGGATAGTTTTAAGCATTTTCCTTTTCTCTGTGCACCTAAGACAGCTGTTGATGGGGGTAATAATNCACGAAGTGTCAGCGGAGAGCAAATTTGAGTTTGGAAGTTGCGGTAATTTTCATGTTCTAAGTTAAAATTACATTTTTCCTTTTGTTTCTCTAATGATTAACATCCAACAATCCCTGTTTTTGTTGTCAGGTGAACAAATGTAATTATCATAAGCGGCTGTTTTTGTTGGCTCTACACACTTCCGGTATTTTCTCCAGAAAATTTCATAAGCCTGTTCATTCTTGTCAAAGTAAGTTGCATCACTGACAGTTTTCAAATTCGATAGAGTATTACGCATGTTTTACGAATCATCATTTGAAAATGGATAGTTTTTTGCTTTCAACCTTCTCAGCCATGGGAAAATATTCATCACATAGATCAACTGAAATGTTCAGAAAATATTCTCCCAAAGTATCAATATCAGAAGTGATATCGCATTTGAATGAAAAATCCTAGTTAAACCGCTGAAATTTTCTCTTCAACATGTTCAATGCTAATATTGAGAAATTACCTTTCAGCACCTTTATTGAGTTTTTAGAATTTTTTCCAAAAACTCAAGTGTACCAACTTCATAAAATGTATCTTCAACATTCGTAAGAATGAATATTACCGGAGTTTTTTCCAACACCAAATCGTTATTTTTACACCTCGACACGTGTTTCGATCACCAAGTGATGATCTTCAAGAGGAAGATAAAACTAATAACTACTCAAAACTATCCGTTCTCGTTTGCTATTTGGTATATAATTTCCTTTTTTTGTTCCGGGCTTCATTGCAAAGTGACATCCTTAGCATTCTGTAGTTGAATGCGTTATAGGCAGCCACATATATTATAAGACCGACACTCAAGGCACTCAGTATTTAACCATTTGAAAACAAGATTTATGTCTAGTACATGACCCCGCATGTCTGTTTGTAAGATATGAATTCGAATTCCGTAGTAATCAAGTTTTTGCAAGAGAAATTCAAAACCATCTACTACATCCCCAAGTAACTCCTCAACTGCTTGAACTATTGATTTACAAGTCTGACACTAACGATTTTCTCATTGAAGATATTATTGATATTGGTCAGTAGTTCAAAGGAATACCTATGTGTCCGCTATTTCAAATACATCCGGGAAGGCTCCGAATGAGGAACAGATTGATTGGATTGCAAAGGGGCTCTGATAATATATCTGACATCTCATGTAGAATTTTACTGTTTAGTCCGGAAATTTGAGTTTGGAAGTTGCGGTAATTTTCATGTTCTAAGTTAAAATTACATTTTTCCTTTTGTTTCTTTAATGATTGATTAACATCCAACTATCCCTGTTTTTGTTGTCAGGTGAACAAATGTAATTATCATAAACGACTGTTTTTGTTGGCTCTACACACTTCCGGTATTTTCTCCAGAAAATTTCATAAGCCTGTTCATTCTTGTCAAAGTAAGTTGCATCACTGACAGTTTTCAAATTCGATTTGAACCTATCATATGTTAGAGGGAAAGTCAAAAGATGATGCACCAAAAAATTCAACCCAGCACGTTTGTGCTGTCCACAGTGATGTGAACTGTCAGGAATATACTAACCCTTCATTGGCTCGATATTGATT